GCTCACTGATTTATTACATTGATTATATTGCTTTTCCGCTGCAATACACATACACACACGGTCGAGCTGTGTAGTGGTGGTGGTGGTGGTTGCGCCCGGCACTACCATATTATATGTAATACGTGATATTTATTGCTTAGCGACGTGTGTGCGTACATATAGCTCGCTATACGTAACGCGGTTAAGTGAATTTTCTCGAAAATGAAAATTTGACGTCGACAACAACAACGACGAAGAAAAAAGAAAGAAAGGAGCGCAGCTGCGCACTGCAACAACGAAGTCAAGAGCCTGGGAGTAAAAAATTCATTTCAAAGACATTAAATTTGCGCGAAAGCTCCTGCATTTTCAATCAATGCGGCGCGTCCATGCGCGAGCAGCGTAGCATCGAGTGCTTATTATTGATTTCAAATATTACATATTTCATTTCCGCGCGTCCACGCGTACACAGCCGGAGCTATATATATACCTCTACCCCCCTCGTGTAATTGAGTTCCGCCTATGTGTGTGTGCAGTGTTCGACGCTCAAAAACAATTAATAAACGCATTAAAAATACGAGCGTAACTCGAGGAGCTGCAGACCTTAAAAGCAATTCAATTTTACGTTTTTTTCTTTTTTTTGTTTGTTTTTTTTTCCAACCAATCTGAAATTCCGAAATTCAATATATCCTCGAATAAGCAGAGGCCTCTCTCTCTCTCTCTCTCGCTCGCCTTCTCCTGGGTAAAGTACATCTCAAATCGAATGCAGCAGGCAGCAGCAGTGGCAGCAAACGGAGATAGCCTCTACTCTCTTTCGCAGCAGCACAGCTCGCCTCGCACACTTACAAAGTCAACGAAGCCTAGCCAGCCGCGCGGACTCAAGGCAAGCGGAAAATTCGTAAAAAAAAACCATGCGCGCGCGCGCGCGCGAGAACGTGTGCGGAGAGTGAAAAAAACGACGAAAGAAGGAGGCGAATAAAAAGGAAGAAAAGATCAAGAGTGAGAATAAGAGAGTAGAGGAATGATTTGAAATTTCGCCTTGAAGTAGTTCTAGCCTCTCTCTCTCTCGCTCACTCCTTTCCACGATCCTCTTTTTTCTCTCGCTCGCTCGTCTACGGCCAGACGGACATCCACACACACACACACACGCGCAGACAAACTGAGAGGAGATAGCCAAACCAGAGAGACAGAGAGAGAAAGAGAGTCGAGCTGGAAAAACGAGCGTTCACCCCGGCTCTTCTTTTCCTTCTCGGACTAGCTCTCTGGCTTATATATAAAATGTTTATACATCGGAGAGAGAAAGACGGAGAGTACTGCCCGAGCAAAAGAGCAGCAGCAGCAGACGCGAGAGGACGTAGCTGAATTTATATTAGCTCGGAGAGAACGAAGAAAGTGCAGCGATAGGCGAGAGTGAAAAATATTCGCCCGCACGAGGGTGGTCGGCCCGGTGTCACCAGCCTTTTTATATAAGAAAAATCGTCCTGCTCGTCGTCGTCGTTGTCTTATTATAATTTGGCTCGCGCGCGAAAGCTCCAAAATGTTATAATACCATACACGTGCGCGGGCGCAGGGCGGAAAAATTGCCTGCGACAGCGATATAACATGAAATTGACCAAAACCAATTATGAGAACTGCACGATCGCATAGAGGTGAGAGATTTCTTATGGTATTCGTGGCCATAGTGTATGAGTATTATAATGTACCAAAGTCTTCAAAGTTTCGTATTATATACTAATACTTTTTTTTCCACTTGTGAGTTTACAATACTCCATCTGTTGATGCAATGAAAAAGCTTCCAATCAAATATGACACCGTTGATTATTAGAGATTCCTTCGTTTTTTATTGAATAGCCCCCCTCTCAAATCTACAAAAAATTTCGCATTAAAATATAAGTTCGTACGTGTCCAACTTTAGATATAATCGGCTAAGAAACGAAGTCGAATTTGTTGAAAGTATATGTAATCTTTAGATTACGCAATAAACCTAAAATATGAAAAATGTTATGAGATATTTTGATCAATTCTGTATTTCAATCAACAGGGCCGGATTTAATAATTTGCCGCCGTACGCCACGGGGCTGCCGCCTATGTAAAAATTTTCGTTTGTACATCACTTGCATTATAATCATATGTAGGTAAATAATTGAAACAATGGAAAAATTTTTTAATTGAGAAAATTGTCAAATTTATTAAAATTATAATTAAATCGAATGAGATCACATCTTAGGTTTAACAATTAAAATTTAAAATTTTTTGGTTGCGACTATCATTTATAATTTTTTTTAATTTATGTGTACTTTTCTCATTTTTGCCGATGAAAATTTATTAATAATTTCTTCTTCATCAAGATTTACCGTCAAGTCACGTTCTATGCTCAACAAAGCTAGTGCGTTGAGTCTTTCTTGCGTTTGAGTGGATCTTAAAACACTTTTAAGGCGTTTGAGGGTTGAAAATGACCTTTCCCCCGAACAGTTTGTCACCATCATAGACAGATAAATAGTTAGTGCAGTGTAATAATTTGGAAACAAATCGACAAAATTCTTCTCATGCAACATATGGCAAATTTCTGCAGCTGATATCTTTTCAATATTTTTTTCTTTTAAGTAAGCACTCAAATGCTTGCACTCATTAATCATAGTTTCATCTAAATCGTCAGAATATTTATCTATTAGCCGTTGAGCTCTTTTAGCAATATCATCTGAAGAAATTGTGTGAATTTTCATTAAAAACCCGAACAAGGAATCAAGCTTCTTATACGCTTTAACACGTTTTTCTAGCTCGGCAATTAATCTTGATATAGATTCATAGAAAAAATCAATTTTCATCTGCTCGCTACCTGTTCTCGTTTCATCAACGCTCCTACTGCTACTTTCATCGTGATAATGGGTTTTTTTACGTTTACGGGTGTTATCTTTTTTGTACGTATCGCTGCCAAATAGCTCAATAGCTTTTTTCTCGTATATTTCGAATTCAAATTTCATATTACTTAAAAACAAGATTAACGAGTCATACAAATCGACAATGGCACCTAGTTCAGTCTTGGTCGATTGGAGTATAGAACTTACTGATTGAAATCTTTCCAGAATATCGCGCCAAAATATTGCGGCAAAACAAAATTCCAACGAATCAAACCTCTTTAACAATCCTTCGGCCTCAACCCGACTTTTAGGATTTTCTTGTTTACCCGTCGATAATTCAGTTAAAACTTCTTTTATTTCTCTATAAGCATCAACTACAGGCTGACATGCATCAAATCGAGCGGACCATCGCGTTTCTGAAAGACTCTTTAATGTCTTTTTTTTAGTTTCTCTAAGTTTGGTCATCAATAAATCCCATCTTCTGGTAGAACCCGAAAAGAATTTATAAAGGGCTTGCAAATCGAAGAAAAAATGTGAACCGATAGTAGTGGACTCCACAGAATTTTCTCCTACTCTTTGGAGCGAGTGTGCTGTACAAGGTACAAAGAAAGCTAGAGGATTTTCTTTCAAAATTAATGCCTGTACTCCAATGTAAATGCCAGACATATTGCTCGCATTATCATAGGATTGTCCTCGGCAATCTTTAATATCAATCTCATATTCTTTAAGCAGCTTGAAAATTGCTTGGGCCATTGCTTCTCCGGTATGACCAACGTTTGGTAAAAATTTGATGAAGCGCTCTCTGACGATGCCATCTGCAGACAGGTACCTTATAATAAAGGTGAGCTGGTCAGTACGGGAAATATCTGGTGTTGAATCCACACTTATCGAATAGTATTTAGCTTTTTTTATTTCATGGATAATTTTTTTCAATAAATTATCAGCCATGATAAGCACAATTTCTTCAAATGTTGTAGATGATAAATACGAAGTATGTCCAGAACCTTTATTCGCAAAATCTTTCACGTGTGTAGCCAGAAATGCATCATATTTTGCAATGAGCTCTATAGCCATACAAAAATTACCGTTACTTAAGGAGCCAAAAATTTCATTGTCTCCTCTTAAAGCTAATCCACGCGAAGTTAATGTTTTTAATACAACTACCACGTATTTTAACACTTTGCGCCAATATTTCAATTCGGATTCCACTTGTGATTGAAGAGATGTACTAATTGAATCCTTACTTCTTTCTTGTAGCATTATGCAGCTATTATTATGCTCAGAAGAACGTTCATGCTCTTTAACCATTTTAGAAGCATTACTCCAATCACTGTATCCAGTACATAAAACATTTGACTGTTTGAATAACTTGCATGGTCCACAGAAAATCGAAGCAGTACTAATTGAATATATTAACCAGGTTCTTCGTAGAGAAGTTTTATTTTTTAGGGTGCGTGTAAATAATGATTTTTGCATGCTCCTATTTGCACCACTAATATTGCGCGTGGATGCTGAGAAGTGCGCATTTTCATTTTGTTTGAATCCTCTTTTAATTATCAATCAATAATATTTAAAATATATTGGATGTTTGATAATGCATCGTGAGGAAATGTTACAACGGTTAAAATTTCAAGAAATAAACACGTTTTAAATTTGATACAAAATTGTAAATATATTGCTTCCTCATAGAGGAAGCTTTGTGATGGGCTCCATTTCGGCTTTTTTATAGAGTAATCGTAGGGTATATTTAATGATATTTCTATATACTAGATCGAATTTTTGACACATTTTGGAATGTATGTGGGTGTATGCGGCTGTATGGCTGTGTAGAGTGATTCCTTGATAACGGTAGCACGTATCGTGACGGGGGAGGGCTTATTTTTTTCGTTATGACATAGGGACGAAGCCAGAAAAATTCATTTATCGATAAACGTAACGTTTTTTTTTCTATTTAAGAAAAAATTTTTTTTTTTTTTGCATTGTTTGTTTGAGATACCCGATAAAGCTGATAGGCGCTTTCGTTTCGCTTTCGTAATTAGAAAGATGATATTAATATTTTCAAATTATTTTTAAGTTAAAAAAAAAGTATGAGGAAGCTACTTGCCAATACATTGGCAGCGGTTTTTTGTATATTAATAGATTGTCGTATTCAGAAACAATGTAAAGTTAATTTTTTCAGTTCCGTCGTATTTTTATACTTGATAAGAAAATTAATCTCTAGTACAATTATTCAATTTACTTTGTTCAGTTTAAAATTCGATCCATTTTATGGATCAGCGAGATTCCTTTGATACAAGGAAAATCGGATTATTTTACAGAGTCGTGTAGCGTCTCGAATGATCTTTGACCAAACTTATTGAACTAGAATCGATTCTAGGTTGTGTCATTCTTTAAATTTGTTTGAAGATAAATTTAAAAAAATCGTTGTATCGAATATAGGATAGTATATTCGTTAGTTTCTGAACTCCTTCTCGATCTTTGATTACAACTCCCTTCCTGGGCTTGGAATTTTCTTTTCTGGAGTAGAAAATTCCCTTTCTGGACTAGGAATTATCTTTTCTGGAGTAGAAAATTTCTTTTCTGGAGTAGGAAATTCCTTTTCTGGACTAGGAATTATCTTTTCTGGAGTAGAAAATTTCTTTTCTGGAGTAGGAGATTCATTTTCTGGAGTAGGAAATTTCTTTTCTGGAGTAGGAAATTTCTTTTCTGGAGTAGGAGATTTCTTTTCTGGAGTAGGAAATTTCTTTTCAGGACTAGGGAATTTATAATCTGGACTAGGAAATTTATTTTCGGGACTTCTATCCAACGGAGTAGGAGGACTCAGACTACTCGAAGAAGTTAAAGATTCCGAATTATGTTCGGAAGATGATTTTGGTTTTGGTTTTCCTCCCTTTCGTGGTTTCTTTCGACGGTGTTGGGGAACTTGATCTGAGACCTTAAGGGAGTTAAATAAAAATATCTGAGTTGATGATCGAGAAAAATTAGATAATTTGGACTGAACATTAAACAAAATGGAATCCAAATTTTTTTTATGTTAGATGAGCCTTACATTATCCTCTGTCTCTCGTTCAAACCCCGAAACCCCTATTTGACTTAATGAGGGTCCTGAACTTTCGTCTTCATCCCTACTGCGTCTCCTAGTACTGCTTTGAGAAGATGTCGAAGGCGGTGGCGGTGGTAAACCCCATGCTCCTTGTAATTCGTCACTATTAGACACTTGACTTTGAGCCTACAAATGAAATTTCAAATCAATTGATAATTCGCGTTGTTTATTAGTCGAATATTTACATAGTCACTGGAATGCCCACTGTCTCTGCTACTGGAAATGTATCTAGGTGGCGAAATAGGCGGTGGAAAATTCGCAGCGGCTTCTTCTTGCCTACTCACTTCGAATTCCTGACGTTCTCGATTAAAAGCCATGTGTAATGCGTCAAAAGTTCGTATACATGATCGCTGATTTACTTTTTTCCTCCGTTTTTTATCGCGCGACTTTAAGATGAGATTTCAAGAAAATATACGAAAATCAATGTTAAAATCAATCGATTTTGACCGAATCAATAAAAGATATTTTACATTATCGCTGGAATCTTCGTACTCATTGTCGCCATCGGCGGATGTAGCTTCCTCTGGTACTTCTGCATTGAGCGCCAAATTGCGTGCGGAACCTAGCGCGAAAATTCGTAATCGATCCCGTTCTTCCTCCTGAAAAATTAAGTTACGAATCGACGTCATTAGAAATATCATTCATAAATGGATCGAGTTGAGAACTCAGAATTACTTCCAGATCTTGTGCGCGGCGTCTTGCCCTTCGGAACCTGCGAGCTTCATCGGTTGATTCCTCGGATGATGTCCTTCGGAACCTGCGAGCTTCATCGGTCGATTCCTCCGCACTCGTGTAATCGTATTGAGGCGCTTGAAGAGCCATCTACGATAAATGTTGTGATTAATCTTTAAATAATAAATGTGAATACTGTATTTGAATATTAATAAAGCAAATATTGAAGAATTACACTTGGTAGGGCAATTGCGTTGCGTCTGCGGGCCCCGCCTTTATATACGGGCGCATCCGGATTCGGTAGAGGACCGTCTTGAGGTTCTTCATCAAGAACCTAGCATAAAATTAGGAATTAATACGTTGGAAATAAGAAATTCGTCGACTTAACTCACTTCGTTCTGATCCTGTTCTGTTTCGTTCTGATCTGGTGTACCCTCATCATTTGAATTGAGATCCCTCAAGTTGAGCGGAGCTGGTACCATTTTGTGTGTGCGATTTATTGAAAAACGTTTTATTTTTATCGCGCAAATGTATTTCATACAAGAGAAAAACGTTATGCGAATTAAAAGAAGTTGATCAACTTTCTTCAATTTTGAAACCAACGATCGAATCTTCACGACTCTCGGAGCACTACAGGCTTGACAAAATTTTCACGATACCGGACGAAGCTAACTGTAAATGGTAAACAATGACAAACGTTCGCCCTACTTTTCTTAATAGAGTGTTCGCGCGTTGGTTTGACAAATTTTCAAAATAATAACAATGTTTACCATACAAGCAACTCTGCGTAACACATGTATCCTACATAAAATTTATTCATGATTTTATTTTTATCTTATTGTTTTTCAATAGTTTAACTCAAATGTTCATGTTCATAAAACGTTTGCTACAATTTCTGCTATTACGACTACTGCTTTTCATTAGGGCCTTCAGAAAACTAAAAAAAAAAATGAAATCATACCATTATCTTACAACGATTACATTCAGCTACGAGCTTTTGTTAAAAATCGAATAGGAAATTAAAGAACATTGCAACAATTATTGCATAGAGTTGTACATCCAGGTCTCTTGTAATTGACGAAGAGAAGCAAGTATAATAAGTTTCATTCCTCTACTCTACCGCTAAATGGCGAACACCTTTATCTGTAAATCTGCAAGTAGTAAAGTAAAAATGATTGTATATCTTATATAGAGATATCCGGCGAAGAAAATCTTTGATTTACTATCGGCAAGGAATTAAGGTAGAGCCGCTCGCACATATAGAGTCATCATCCGCGCCCGAAATAACTTACATATTTACATAATAGTCGCATTATATACAAGAACGTGTATAAGCTAAGGCGGCCGTAGGGTAATCCTATCCTCGGTGAATTATACGTGTATACGGCAGTTGGAGTCGTCGTTTACGGACTCTCGCCAAACACACGCCTTCCGCGCGCAGACACGATCCAGGGGTCATTTTGTCCATTTCTGCGTCGCGCGCTCCTTTGTCGAGAAACCCTGAAAATTCAAAGAACACTATATACTCGGATCTCTCGGCAATCACATAAATATAAAGTGTAGAGTTGGCGTAGCACAGCACAAGTCGCTTATAATATACGCCATGCGCCAATAAATCAGCGGCAGCGGCAGCAGCAGCTGAGCCGTCGAATATATATATCGCGCAAACATATCGCGCGGCCTACCGACTCCGCATCTACTCCGCACACACACACACACACACACACACACACACACACACATAGACACGGTAGTTGTAATAAAATAAAAAAGGGAGAAGAAGTAAGAAAAAGGCCAAGACACACGCCGCACGCGACTGCACACAAGTAAAGTCAGATCTCGAGGTGTGCGTAAGCCGTACACATGTACGTATAACGAGAGACAGAGAGAGAGAGGCAGGTTGCGCTACCATATACCCACAAAAGGTGGATATCCCTGTGGCTGATTTTATTGTAGATCTGTGCGTGATATTTTTAGTTTATACGCGCGTGTATACCGGTGTGGGGTGCGTTGGACTAGGTCTCAAGGCAGCTGCCACCGTTCTCCGGCACTCGCACAATGTGTGATACACGTGTATGTATACCGGTGCGTGCAGGACACGCTGAACATATATAATACATAATACAATCGTTTTTTCGCTCGATTTTGGGTAGCTTTGTGTTACAAGCGCAATTTTTATATAGCTCTCGTGTACAGAGAGAGAGTGAGAGTGACCGCCATTACTCGCCCCAGCGAGCATAACATAGAGCTGGCCTATTATTATTGCGCCTAGATCGAGGTACGCGACCCATTGGAATCGTATCTTTTTCAAATTTTTGGAAAGAAGAAAGAAAGAGAGCCGCGCAGATAGAAAGAGAGGTGTCGCGCGCGCTCTCGTTGTACTTGTATGCGAGAGATTACGTGGACGCGACTTTGTCTACGATCACACGCGGTATTTGGGGGGGGNGGGGGGGGGGGGGGGGGGAAACAAAGAAGAAAAAAAAGCATCTTTCGCTTCGTTGTGCGCGTACGTTTTATGTATAAAGTACACGAGGCTCACGCAGATATAGAGCCAAGACGCTGGAGAACTGATAACATATGAAATGACCCTCCATTATGGCTACAATAATGGTTGTCATAATAATGAGATTTAAATATTTTCACCTTATATATATCTTAGAAATTCAAGTTTTTCACTTGTGGATTTGAAAGTGACATCTGGAGGTAGAACTTGCAAATACGCACAGATATTAAAAAATTGTCTATCTTTCAGAAAAAAAAAGCTTTCAGGTGAAAATTTCCGATACGCGCGTTCGTCGTGTCTCGCATTATCGATAACTATCGAGAAACGTCAGGATTTAACCCACTTCAGCGATGTTTTTAATATATTAGCATTTTCATGTCCTAATGGCTCTAAGAAGAGGAGGATGAGCTAATAGCTCGCCCAGTTATAACGTACTCTCTTCCTTTTAAAGCTGCGCTCCTTTCTTTTCCATCGCGCATTGTTCCTCCGAATATACATATATACATAAAGTTTCATTCTACAGTATGCGCGCTTACAATCTCAAGCCCATATTCTTCGTCCTTCCTTCCTTCCTACTCCTGCAGCAGCAGCAGCAGCAGCAGCAGCAGCCGAGGAGCTTCGTCATCATCCGAGAGTTTGGATTCTCTTAATGAAGTTTATTTTAAAGTCCAGAGAGACAGAGAGAGAGAGGGCACGCGTAGAGAGGAGGTGCTTGATAGTTTGTCAAAGTTTCTCATAATGACATTTTACGTTGCGCTTGATTAAATCAAAAGTTTATATTTGCTATATAGAAAATGGGGCTAGCTTGGCTAATTTGAACAAAAAAAAAAAAAAAAAGACCAACGTATTTTTACGTTCTCTCTTGATTGTCATTTATCTTTTTTTAACATAATTAAAGTTTTTCATAATACGATCTCGAATTGCGCAAAATTTATATAATCGTACTTTTTTGCTTGCAGGTACGTTGACACTGGCCCGTAAAAATACGCCCTACACTGCCCAAGTACGTATATGATCTGCACTTTAACCTTTCTTCTAAAAGGCACTCGATTGTGCTTTACTTCGGGTACGGACGCGGAATTAAATGCGCAGCCAATTATTCAGCTCCATTCGGCACGATGATCATCGGCCAATGGTCGAACTAACGGCGATTCGAGCATAGCCCATTACTAGATATATATATATATGTGTTGTATGTATAACACAACATCAGCAGCTGTGTGTGTAGTATTGGTATTTAATTTCGCCTGCACGCGAATATACATACGTAGTTTATATAGCCGACGACGACACGCCGATTCTCTAAATTAGTGCCCCGTACTAGTAGCTAGCTATAGCTAGCTAGCATCAACAATGATTCGCCTTTCCCGCCCTTTTCGAGTCCGGCCTTCCTATATATAGTTATAATGTACCTCAGGTATATGCATAAGGACTTCCTTCCAGCTAGTGCAGCAGTAGCTAGGGCTCAATAAAACGCGCAGGGGCCTTTATTAATCAAGTCGACGCGCGCGCGGCACCGGCGGCCCTCGGCTAGTAAGGGCGCAGCCATGTTCCGGTCGTGCTTTATTGTTTGGTTCGAAATATCGTCCGTTACACCTCGCCTAGCAGTATGTGCCACCAGCTACACGCAGTGTCCCGCTCAATTTATTTCGAATTATTTTTTTTTTTTTGCTTCGCTTTCCAGCTTCTTTCACTTCCACATTGCTTTATAATATACGTTGTGAAACGTCACTGCGCGGATATTTCATTAAAAAATTCTAATTTAATTTTTTTTTTTTCATAATTCTCCGACGCATGGGCGAAATTCTGTCGCTGAATAACGAGCTCTCTCCTGTCTTTGCAATTTTCGTGACAAGCAGTTTTCGGACTACACAATGTATTATATCAATCGTGTCATGATTTCATTGTTCTGTCGTTATGTCCGATCGCCTCGATAATGCACTTTATTTTTTTCTCTCTCTCGCTCTCGCTCTTCCTACCGTGTACCTCTAACAGCATATCCTTTTCTATACTCCTCCCCGTCCCATCCATAGTAGTTGGCCTGGTTCTGCCATTCGAATGCCACGCCGCGTTTGATGCATTTTCCATCAAAGCTCTCTCTCTCTCTCTCTCTCTCGCTCGCTCGCCGAGGCCGAGTTTGGCTTTGACTTTCGCGATTGAACTTTGGACGAGAGCACGAGCTAGCTAGCTAGCTGCTGCTGGGTTTATAGCGTGGAATTCAAAGGATTTATCGGGGAAATTTCAACCCACACCGGTTTACGCGTTTATTGAATTTTCCCCCCCTCTCGCGCGCGGACGCGCGCGCGTCAACAACCAACATTATTCGATGAACGCACCAATTTCTTGTTATCTCTCGCTTTGTATATAACTATACCACTATAGTTGCGTTCTCGGTGACGATTATTATATATTCGTTCCCTCGAAAAGCAAAGCAAAAAAAAATGCAGCGGTACATAAAACTACGGATAAATTAGGAACGAGAGAAAGAATCGAAGCGAATCGTGATCCCAGCAAACTTAATGTGGGTCGAAATGTCAAAGAGGAGTCGCGTATCGAGGAAAACTAAACTATACGGTGCTCACTACTATACTATACGGCTTTCGAAATATTATATAGCCCGATGCCATGTGCCCTAGAAGGCAGCAGCAGCAGCAGCAGCAGCAGCGCGCCGAGTCTTTGAGACTCCGGCGTCAAAATTTACGAGTTAAAGTTAACTCTTTCTCGGTCAAAGAGCAGCAGCAGCGGCAGCACTTGGACGACGCCTTTTCCCGGGGTTCTGTATCGAGCTCTTTTCCTCGTACTATATTTCAAGGCAGTTATAACGTAGTGTATAGCTCGAGCTGCGCACAGAGACGTGATCATCGTAGGCACGTATGTTTATTATATCACTTATAAAGTCGGTAAGTCGCAGGTGCACACAGCTTGACTTGCAACGATCTCGTCGCATTACAAAAGCCGACAAAAAAAAAAAAAACTGTCACACAGGCGTCGAAATAGCTGTCGCGTATATTACACATCCGAATGCGGGGGGATAGGGTTTGAGTTCACTGATTTCACCGACACGGTCCACATGCACAATGGTGAAAAGATCAGATATTAGATTCTTGGTACAGCAGTAGCGCCAAAAGAATCGATTTTCTCGATCCGTTCATTCTTC